TAGGGCTTTTAGGGTTTAGGGTTCTAGGGTTTAGGGCTTTTAGGGTTTAGGGTTTTAGGGTCTAGGGGATTTTAAGGTTTAGGGTTTAGGGCTGGTTTAGATTAAACTCGAAATATTTATCATGAATATGATTTCGAGAACAAGGCTTCATAATACTATACCTCAAGTGCGGTCAAATTGTGCCAAAGCCATACATGCAAGCCCTCTCAACTCAGCTTGCGCGGAAAGCGCGCGATTGCAGGATCTTCCTGGCGGTCTTGTTGTTGTTTAATTTATTCTAGAAGCCTGGCTGCTTCGCAACTATATCCCCTTATCCTCCCTATATAGTGACCCTAAACCCTAAACCCCAAACCCTAAACCCTAAACCCTAAACCCCAAACCCCAAACCCTAAACCCTAAACCCCAAACCCTAAACCCTAATAAGGCGATACTGTTGGCAATCAGTCCGACCCCTACCCTGAACCCTGAACCCCCTTTCTTACACCCTCTGCTCACAACCTACCTCAGAACCCCTAAACCCTAAACCCTAAACCCTAAACTGTGGGACCAACTGGTCAGGTTCTGGATGTTAGGATTTGGGGCATGGGGTCGAAGATTCTTCGAGGTAAAGGGCTCGACGTTCAGGGTCTGAGGCTTAGAGTTTACGGGTAAAGCGACTAAACCCAGGAGGCTACTGATACTCTTCGTACGGTTCTTGGATTAGATCAACCGTCCAATCTGAAGAGTCCCTGCAAAAAACACACAACCCTTTTCAAACAGAAACGTAGAAACCTTTGAACACATGGAGCTCTCTCGCAGCTTGAAGTTTGAATGTCCTCGGCTCGATTCCCCGGGCCCACAAAAAAGGCCGGAAGGAAAAGACAGCATGCAACTTCGAGGGTTCCAGGTTTAGGTCGAGATTTTAAGGTTTAATGTTTTGGGTGTAGGGTTTAGGGTTCAGGGGTTTAGGGCCTTTTGGGTTTAGGTCGAGATCTTAAGGTTTAAGGCTTTGGGTGTAGGGTTTAGGGCTTTGGGGGTTTAGGGCCTTTTGGGTTTAGGGAGTTTAGAGCAGACCCCCGGAAGAAAGTACACCCACAACTCGGCACTTGTGGCCGCACCACTTCTGTTGTTCATGCACGTGCTCCTTTTCGCACGGTTTTGCTCTGGTGTTGCCTGCCAGTGGTTGCCACAGCCCTCAAGCCTTTCAACAACATGTTAAAGGGGTTCTATTCGAGTTTTAGGTGTTGCATCAGGATGTTGGCGGGGGTTTGGGGTTGACATGCCTCTGATGTGGCAGCCACCGGAGCAACGTAATTCGAAAGCCCTCTGTCCTGCCTGAGGGTTCATGGGTAGCTCAACTGGGGTGCTAAGTTTGGGGTTTACGATGTAACTAAGGAAATACATAATATAAGTAAGTAGATATGAGCCCTAAACCCTAAACCCGTTTTATGTAGCTACTTACCAAGTCCCATGATCCGTTAAGAAAGCAGACCTCCGCGGGCCACTCGGGCTCACTCATCCGTGCAGCTCGAATACCTGAAGCGGGCAGGGTTAGGGTGTAGGGTTTGGGGTCTGTTCAACAGGGTCCAGGGTTTAGGGTTTAGCTGACTGCGGGCCTGTCACAGCCATGTTGCATCCCTCATCCTTGTTGGGCTTATGCTCTGGCTTAGAGCTTGGCTCTATCAGGTTTGGCGCCTTTTAGGGTTTGGGTTTAGGGTTTGGGGCAGTTTAGGGTTTAGGGCAGTTTAGGGTTTAGGGCAGTTTAGGGTTTAGTGTTTAGGGTTCAGGGTTCAGGGTTTTGGGTTTTGGGTTTTGGGTTTAGGGGTTTGGGTTTGGGGTTTAGGGTTTGGGTCTGGGGTTTAGGGTGTAGGGTAATAAGGAAGACAGAAAGATTTGCAATACTGTTGTGTAGGATTCTTTCATTGTAACGTTAAGAGAAGCACAAATTCTCAGTCTAAGTGTCAGGGCCACTGCATTTCAGGGAGTTCTTGTTGTTATGTGCGGTTCAGTATGCAGCACTAATATGCCCCCAGCGCCCCTACGTCATTCTATTTCGTTGTACCCGCGAACCGACAGCTTATTCTTATTGTCGAGTCACCTGCAGTAGAGATGTTGACTAGGCGGTATTCGAGTTCTGACAAGTCTATAATTCGGCTTGAGGGTTTGGGGTCTTTAGGGTTTAGAGTCCAGGGTTTAGGGCTTAGAGGTTGCAGGATATCTCACACAGTCGGCACCATCATGACCATGACTACTACTGCCTAGGTGGGGCATTTGGGGGGTGGGGGGACGGGGGGGGGTTCTGGGAGCTCGGGGTTAGGGCTCAGGGTTCAAAATTCAGGGCGTCTAGGGGTCGAAATCCGAAACCCTAAACCCTTAAACCCTAAACCCTAAAACCCAAAAAAAAAAACCTAAACCCATTCTCTCGACCAGAAGCCCGGAACCTGAAACCCCGTAATGTCCTTCATAATTAGAATGGGGCTTGGGGGGCATAATCTACTGTAAGTATAATAAGGAAACACCAAACATACTGATGGTAATTATGAAGGGGGGATAATCTACCGTAATTATTGTAATAACGAGCCCCCCAAAATACTGATGGTAAGTATTAAGGCCCCTACAGTAGGGCTCAGAATCCGAAGCCCTGAACCCATTCTCTAGACCAGAGGCCCGGAACCTGAAACTCCCTAAACCCTAAACCCCCTAAACCCTAAACCCCTAAACCCTAAACCCCAAAAAACCCTAAAGCCCTAAACCCCTAAAGCCCTTTAGCCCGAAAGCTTCTAAGGGCAAGCCGCTCAGCGATGAGGAGTCCATGAAGGCTGGATCTGGGCTTCAAGTTCTCTTAGGGGCTTTGAGTTTAGGGTTTAGGGTTTGGAGCTGTGGGTTTAGAGTTAAGGGTTTAGGGTTTAGGGTTGTGGGTTTAGAGTTCAGGGTTTAGGGGTTTAGGGCTCAGAGTCTAGGGGTTTAGTCGTTTCACTGCGGTGTCGTGCTCCGCGCGTCTTTCCGAGGCCAGAAGCCCAGAAGGAAGGAACCGCTCGCAATTGTGAACACATATGGGGGTTTCCATAGTACCCCAAATAGTAGGCTCCTGAAAGGACCCCACAAAAAGGTACCCGGTATTTTCGGAAACTCCCACATCTAGATATGTTGTCAAGCTGTACTGTGCACAAACTGCATGATCAAACCCTTACTAACAGTTGACGTACTCTTTAAAAAGCACATGGCCATGATTAGGGCTTAGGGTCTATAGGGTTTAGGGTTTAGGGTTTACGGTTTAGGGTTACATCTAAGGACTTTAGGAGGGACCCCTGATAGGGACCCTTAATCCCATTACCTTAAATAACCATTGTATAGTCCTGATAAACGCCCCATATTGACCCCAATAACCTACAAGGGTTCCTATTAAGGGTCCCTCCTAAAGCCCTAAACCCTAAACCCTAAACCCTAAACCCTAAACCCTAAAGCCCTAAAGCATACTTGTAATCACACATGTTTCATGCCCTCGACTCTCGGCTCAAAGCTGTCGCCACGTGCCCCGGGAATCGCGACGGCCAGTCTCGACAGAGCACCCCCTGTGGCGCAGGCAGACGCTGTGCCTGGTAGCTCCCTGAACCCTAAAGCCTAAGGCCCTAAACCCTGAACCCTAAGCCCTAAACCCTGAACCCTAAGCCCTAAACCCTAAACCCTAAACCCTGGACCCTAAACCCTAGGGTTTAGGGTTTAGGGATTAGACAACCTTTAGCCCTTTGGGGCTTTTTAGGGATCCTACTATAGTTGAAAAGGCTAGCCTTTCTTTGGGCTAGGGTCCTCCGCCCCTAAGTATGGTGGGGTGGAGTCGGAAATGAGAGAAGTGAGAGCGCCCACTTGGAGGATCATGGGACTTAGTAGGTAAGGTTATAAGTCCCTTAATTGGGGTTGTAAGTATAGGCACCCTAAACCCTAAACCCTAAACCCTAAACCCTAAACCCTAAACCCTAATTATAACCCTACTTACCCTTAAACTTCCAGAGGCACCAGTCGTGGTGGTCAAGGTGCATTGGTCTAACACTGAGTAATGGCAGCTTACGTCTTAAGTCAGCAGTTCGTATTTTTATAGAAGCCCAAATAATTACCTATACTGTTCCTTAATATAATGATACTATAAAGGATCCCAGAACCCTATTCTAACTACCAAGGCCCCTACATTACTTCAGGACGGTCGGTGCAGCCAGGCTGGGGCACTAGATTCAGACATGGGTAGTTGTCAAAATTATGGTCCCTTTTGCAGTACCCTAAATAAGACCCAAAAAGGGCCCATAATTTTGACAACCACCCACATACAAGGCCAGAGGCACAAACATCCGCGTTAGAGATGCGACCCCGCGCGTTTGTAGAGGTTTCTCCTAGGCTACTGACTGCGCAACCCTAAAGCCCTCAAATCCCAAGCAATAAACCCTGAGCCCTACACTGCCTTAAACCCCAAGCCTTAAACCCCAACAGTAGACCTTAAGCCCTAGAACCCTCATCCCCCTGAGGCCAGCATCCCAGTTCGGGGAGCCCTGGTAGATTCAAGACCATCGGTTCAGGGTTTAGGGTTTTAGGGTTTGGGGTTTAGGTTTAGGAGTTTATATTGGGTTTAGGAGCTTAGGGGTTTAGGGGTTTAGGAATAAGGGTTTCGGGTTTAGGGTTTTAGGGTTTGGAAGTTTAGGGTTCAGGGTTGCCTTCCCGTGGCCCCTGGCCAATCCCTTACGGCCTAAACCTTAGCATCGGGATCTGAATGTAACCTGTATGTAGATATATGAATGTATACATGCGCACACGCATATGCCTAATAGAATGTACCCCAAACCCCACTCTACTTGTTAAGGCCCGTTTATGAGCCCCAAGTCCTTTACGAAGCCCATACTTTATGGGGCTTAAGAATTACCTCTACTATTTTGGAGGTTCCTGAAAAGAATAATAGTATACTGGGCCTTAAAGCCCGATTCTACTTGTGAAGGCCCCTAAACCCTAAACTCTCATAGTGGCCCTTAGAGTAACCCTTATAGTGACCCTTTTAAGGACCCCCCTTTAAAGGAACCCTATTCAAATTATTAAGGCTAGTAGGTCGCCAGATCAAAGCTTCCTGAAGCTCCTTGCTTAGCACAAAGTTTAAGGCAGCCATCGTCTGACCTTTCCACCACCCTAAACCCTAAATCCTAAACCCTAAACCCTGAACCTTAGACCTTGAACCCTAAATCCTAAACCCTGAACCTTAAACCCTGAACCCTAAATCCTGAACCCCGAACCCTAAACCCAAAAACCTTGAAAACCCTAAACCCTCCTGTCACACCAGATGAGAAGTTTTCCCAGAGATCAGAACCCTCGTGGTTCTTATAAGTTTGCAGCAATCTGAAAGTTTACCCTTTTACTTCCCTGGCTTATTGGGGAAGTAAGCACCCCAGAGGCCGAGACCCTAAACCCTGAACCCTAAAAACCCTGAACCCTCCTGTCATACAAGATATGAAGTTTTCCTAGAGATCAAAACCCTAAACCCTAAACCCTAAACCCTGAACCCTAAACCCTAAACCCTAAACCCTAAACCCTAAACCCTAAACCCTAAAAACCCTAAAAACCCTAAGAACCCTCAGAACCCTAAGAACCCTAAGAGCCCACCCCAGAGCCCGAGGATTGAAGCATGCCGAGCCAAGACTCCTACTTGCCTTTGCAGCACGGCGGAGAAGGTTAGGGTTTAGGAGTTTAGGGTTTAGGGTTTAGGGTTTAGGGTTTAGGGTTTAGGGTTTAGGGTTTGGGGTTTAGGGTTTAGGGGTTCAGGTTTTCGGGTTTAGGATTGAGGGCTTTGGGTTAGGGGCTCAGGTTTTAGGGTTTAGGGTTTGGGGGTTTAGGAGTTTAGGGTTTAGGGTTTAGGGGTTTGGGGGTTTAGGGTTAGGGGTTCAGGTTTTCGGGTTTAGGGTTTAGGGCTTTGGGTTTGGGGGTTTAGGGGTTTAGGGTTTAGGGTTAGGGTTCAGGTTTAGGGGTTTAGGTTTTAGGGTGTAGGGTGCAGGGTTCAGGTTTAGGGGTTTAGGGTTTAGGTTTAGGGGTTTAGGGCTTAGGGGTGTAGGGGTTTAGGGTTTAGGGGTTTAGGGTTCAGGGTTCAGGGTTTAGGATCTTGGTCAATGTGGCCACGGTTGGGGTGCGATGCCATACATGCATGCTTACATGCCTGTGCGTCATTTGGTGTACAGTCTTACGTGTATGAGCCTGCACGTACATCTGGTGTACACAGGAACCATCGGAGAATGGGTTGCTGTAGTTTGTTGAACAACGTCAGACTCTAGCCAGAAACATTGGCGGTGGAGTGGTTCAAAAAAACCCCGACACCCTACACCCATAAAGAGGGCACAGCACAAGCGCGAGTCATGCGGATTTCAGCCGAACCACTCGGTTTCCCCTATTTCTGCCCCAGAAGCAGCCGAACACAGACACGTCGTGCGAATTGCAGATGCGGGACAAATAGTCCTACCGACATTAATATCAAGGCAATATACTTCAGTCACAGCTAAACTAACATAACATCTAACATAACATGGCGAACAGCGTATGGTGTTGCAGCCCTTGAAACGCTCACACCAATTCGCCCCTACTGTTGTCTTCTAAACCCTAAACCATTGAACCACTAAACCCCTAATCCCTAAACCCCTAAACCCTAAACCCTAAATTGATTCCCTCGATCCCAGAATGAAATCCGATGGTACCTCCTTGGTGCCGGATTTTACGGACGAGTATTTCAAGGCCCAGCCGATCGCACATTGCAAAGCTTTGGATCCAAGTAGCCTTGCATCCTACCTAAAGGGTCATACCCTATCCCTTTTTTAAGGTACATAGTTTTATGGTTAGGATCTGTTATATAAAAAAGTATGTACCCGAAAAACGGGGTAGGGTATGACCCTATAGGTATAGTAGAAGCCCAAAAGTTGGAAACCCAATAGCCTCAATCCCTAAGAGTAATGTATCGGGAATCCCAGCACTATTTGTCCTTAATCCGGTGTCCACCTTTTTGGGGCTTTTGGACCCTAAACCCTAAAACCTGAACACCTCAGAACCCAGGACCCTTTTGCTTCGGTAGCGTTGAACCCACTGAACCCTGGTGCCGACCAGTGCTGCAGTCTTTGAAAACTGTAACACTCATAGGGACCTATGGGGGGGGGGGGGGGGGGGGGNNAGGGGGGGGTGGGGAGCAGGGGAGTAGGGGGCCCTTAATACCAGTAATAAGGACCTCGTGCGGCCTAGTTTTGAAAGCAAAGTCCCCTACCCCCTTTCCTTCCTCAGGGACGCACGCAATCCAACATGTATGTGTATGGTTTAGTAAACACTTTGGCCTAGACGAGGTTCCCGCGTAGGTGCCCAAGGTCAAAGTAGGCATGTGTGATCGTGTGTGTGTGTGTGTGTGTATCTGTATATATATATATATATATACACACACCTTTACGTGCGCATTTATTTATTCAGTTTTTTTGTTTCACGTAATTATGCAAGTGCATTGTTTATTCCTTTGTATTCTGCATAAGCACATGGACCCTCAGGGGGCAAGCCAGGGTGAGGCTGGAGATGTAGTTCAAGTCTGAGAACCATTCCTCCAAGGTAAACCCTAAACCCTAAACCCTAAACCCTAAACCCTGTAGGAACCTGATGAGAAAACCCTGGCCCCATATCCCCACTATATCAGGGTTCATACAACCCTAAAGGGACCCTTCTTAACCCTACTTATGGCTCTCTTAAGCGGGACCTTATCCGCAAGGGTCTATATATCCGTAAACCCTAAACCCTAAACCCCTAATCCCAAGTCCTTCGTTCAAAGGCTCAGGGCTTCATGGCACCAGAAGGTTTGCTTCTAGCCCTCCCCGTAGCCCCAAGCCCCGGTGCCAACAGTGAACTGAAAGCAAGGCAACCGTAACCCTGAAGCCATCAATGGTGCCCGATGATATCTATTAAATTACTGTATCTATCTATGTTTCTATCTATCTATCTGTCTTATCTATCTTTCTTTCTTTTTATCTTTCTATGTATTTATTTATTTATCTGTCTTATCTATCTTTCTTTCTATCTTTCTATCT